GGCCACCTGGCCAGTACTTAGTTAATCCAAGTCTTTCAATTATCAGCCCAGTGAACCACATCAAAATGATGTGTGATCACCTTTCTAAAGCATGTCCTCTCCATCATTCAGGTCCAATCCCAAAATATTTTCCTTAGGATTTGAAATAGCTAGGAATTAAATTCCATGGGTTACTCAAGCCTAAGAAATCCCCAAAGATTGCTGGTTCTTCCAAATATCTTTAATGATTCACTATGGGTATACTTGTAGAGAAACCACAATTATCTCAGAATCAGTAATCAACTAACACGACTTCATCAAGCACCTAGCATGTGCCAGACACTGTACTAGGTGTTGAGCATACAAAGATAAAAATGAAACAATGTCTGCCCTCAAGGAGCTTATATTCTATATAGCAGTTGGGGAAGTGGGGAAGAGAACATGCATTCATAATACAAAGTGAACAAATATAAGGTACTTTTTTTGGAAGCACAAATGCCTTTAATCTCTAGTATTTAACACAAAACTGAGAAGCAATACAGTAACAATGACTAAGAAGTTAAAACCATTACTACAATGTGGCACAGTGGATAGAACGCTGGACTTGGGTTGTCAGAAGACCCGAGACAAAATTCTGCCTAAGATACCTACCTATATTAGCTGAATGACCCTGCATAGAGCTTCTCAGCTGTAAAATGGGAATAACAATGGGATTGTTATGAGGATCAAGAGGGAAAATGAATGTAAGCATTTGATAAATCTTGAGATCTATAAATGTTAGTTACCCTAGGGCAGCCAGTAACAACCATTTTCCTCCATAAAGCAGGGATGACAATAAGTGAGTGGTAGCACTTATTACAGTAACTTATATGATCAGATCAGATAATGTAGGTAAAGATCTCTGCAACCTTTGCCTCATATCAATGCTAGCTAGTTATCATTATATAGTATTACAACATGTTATTACATAATTATATCACTACATATGATTATAGTATTTTAAATGGATTACAGTATTCTGAGTAGTATGTGTGTATAACAGTACTGTAAGCATATGTTATATTACAGTACTGTAGATAGTATATTATTATAATACTACAGTGCTATAAACATAATAGTCACTCTACGCAGTATTATTACTTTGTAATAATATATTATAGTACTCTAAACAGTATATTGTATTATTCACTACTCCATGTAATATATGTTATAGTTTTATCACAATGTTATAACATACTATACAGTACTCTTCTTATACTGTTATACTGTGACATTAAATAGTATATAAGTACATTGTATTACAGTATTCTAAGTAGTATATCATTATTACACAATTCTGAGTATGATGTTAGGGTATACTTTATAGTACTTACTATATGTGTGTGCATATGTGTGTGAGTATTCTCTATAGTACTCAGCATGGCACGCCCTCATCAGAGAATGTGCTGCGCTCTATGGGCACAGCAGAATTGAAGTAGCTCAAAAGTAACACAAGATGTGCAAATTGAGAGAACCCATTCCAAATGTTCCCATGGACTATTTGTGCCTGACCTGTGGTAGAACATTCTGAGCTCATATTGGTCTGATAAGCCACAGTCCGACACTTTGAAACCTGACTCTAGCACAATGTTGTCATTTTGGTCCTCTCTGAGAACAAAGGACAACCACTACCAACCAAACAACCAACCAGTACTCTGTACTCTGTACAGTACAGAATTGTTATAATATGCTATACTACATAACATATAAGTAGTAAAATATATTATCATGTTACTCTAAGTATAGTCTATATTACAGTACTTTAAGTAGTTATTATATTATTAAAGTATTTTACGTTATATTGGGGCGACTAGGTAAAATGCCATGGAAGCAAAGCTGGGCCTGGAGTCTGGAAGACATCTTCCTGAGTTCAAATCAGGGCTCAGACACTAGCTGTGTGACCCTGGGCACGTCACTTAACTTTTGCCTCAGGTTCCTCATCTGTAAAATGAGCTGGTGAAGGGAATGGCAAAGCACTCCATTATCTTTGCCAAGAAAACCCCAACTGGAGTCATGAAGAGTCAGACACAATGAACAACAACTTGCTATATACTTTATAGTACTCTAAGTAGTATACATTACGGTACTCTAATATTAATTTTATAGTACCCTTAGTATAGATTATATAGCATTGAATAGTATAACAATTTTATCACAGAACTCTTAAATATATATACACACTATATTACATATTACAAAAACTTGAGTTTTTGCATCATAGTAGTATATGTTATTACAGTAATTTAAATATGTCATAATATTATGGTATTCTAAGTAGTATATTACATTATAGTACTATAAGCATGTCATATTATACTACATTACTCTAAGTAGTATGATACCATTCTAGTAGCATTTATTATAATATCATTACAGAACTCAGAGTATAATGTCATATTATATATTACATTGCTCCAGGTTGTTGATTATATAATTACAATCCTTTGAGTAGTATAATAATGTATTATCTCATACTATCACATTGCTTTAAGTACGCTATAATATCATTGGTGTAGCCTAAGTATAATATCATATAATATTACAGTACTCCAAGTACTATAATATCATATACCATGTTAGTACTCTTAAGTAGCATATTATATTATTATTACAGGACTCTAAGTGTAATGTCATATTCTATAATGTTATATATTACTCCAAGTAGTCTAATGTTATACAGTATCATGCCAAAACTCTGAGTCGTATAATATAATAGCATTATATAATACTATCACAGTGTTTTAAGTAGTACACCATAACATAACTGCAGTACTGGAAGTACAGTATCATATTATATGATACTACAGTACTCCAAGTAGCATATCATCATCCTAGTACTCTCAAGTAGCATAACATTACACTGTTATCCCAGAACTCTGAGCACACTGCTGTGAACTCGATAGCATGCCCGTTACTCCCGGGATTCCAATACTGTGTACTCTCTACTCTGAGCGGTGTAATCTCGTAGCAGACCACCACAGTCCTGCAGTACTCTGAGCACCATGTCTTATTACATAATACCCCAGTACTCCAGGCAGTGTAATACCGTACACCACCATAAGAGTACTCCAAGGCTAACCCCGGGGGCTCCGAGCACAACTGCCTGCAGTCCTACTCTATGAACTGACATTACTCCAGAGAGTACAAATACTATATATTCTCTACTCTGAGCGGTATAACCTTGTGGCTGACCACCACAGCAATGCAGTATTCTGAGCACCATGCCTTATTACATAATACTCCAGTACTTCAGGTAATGTAATACTTCGCAATGCCCAGGGCTCCAAGCACACTGCCTGCCGCCCCACTCCACGAGCTGACATTACTCCAGAGAGTCCAACATTCCATACTCGACTCTGAGCAATGTGATCTCGAAGCACAGCACCATAGTACGGTAGTACTCTGAGCACCATGTCTTCTTAAATAATGCCCCAGTACTCCAAGCAGTGTAATACCGTGCAATGTAAGCGAGTACTCTATGCCTAGCCCCGGGCTCCGAGCACCCTTCCTGCAGTCCTACTCCAGGGCTCGACATGACTCCAGAGAGTTCCATACTCCGAGCGGTGTGACCGCGAGGCACACCACCACAGCATGCGCTACTCTGGGCACCATGCCTTACCGCACAACGGCCCAGTCCTCCAGGCAGTGCCATCAGACCCCTCTCCGAGGCTCGCCCCGGGCTCCGAGCACACTGCCCGCCACCCTGCTCCACGAGCCCGACGTTGCACACTCCAATCAGAGCGGTGTGATCGCGAAGCACACCGCCATAGCATGCAGTACTTACATAAGCACCATGCCTTCTTACATAACGCCCCACCACTCCTGGCACTGCCATCACACTACTCTCCACGGCCAGCCCGGCTCCCAGCTCCCTGCACAGCTCGAGCTGGCTCCGGGAGCCCACGTGGAAGCCCCGCCGCCAGCCCCGGCGCGGCCGCAAAGCCGCGGCATCCCCCGAGCCCGGCCCGGAGCTCTGAGCCCTACTCGCCCGCACGGCACTGCTCCGGGAGCCCGCTCGGCTCGGAACTCGGCAGCGCAGGACGACTCCCGGCAGTCCACTATCACATCTCACCACAGCACGGCTGAGGCGTGCTATCGCCGCCCTCCCAGCGTCGGGCCCCGCGCCCCTCAAGGCCCGAGGCGCCCTCCCCGGGGCGCCACGGAGGGGTCGGCGGGGGGGAGGCTCCCCCGGGGCGGCTCGGGGCGCCCCCGGCCCCACGCGTGCTGGCACGCCGCCGAGCCTCGTCCAGGCCGCTGGCAAGGCATGGACCTGCCAGCCTCGACCGCCGCGGCTACGACAGCAGCATCCCGGCGGCCGAGGGTCCCTGCTAAGAATCCGCTTCCCCGGGGCCCCGCCCTCCGAGGGCGGACCCCACGGCGCGAAGGGGTCCTGGGCGGCGCCCCCCGCCTCCCTAGGGTCTGGAGGGAGCCCTCCCACTCGCCCGCCCTTTGTCACCTTCACCCGGGAGGCAAGGAGGCGATGGCATTCCCCACGCCGCCTCCCCCACACGTCGATGCCCGGCCCTTCCTTCATCTGCAGGCTGGCACCTGTCCGTTCTGCAGGGTCGCGCGGGTGGTCCAGGGACCGCCCCCCTCCTCCGCCCTCGCCCCTCCCCCAGCCTGGGCGCCCCCCCCTTCTTCTCCTCTTGCGCCCCAGACGCGGCCAGAGCAGGACGGGGGGGGGAGCAATAGCCGATCCGGGCCTCCGCCTCCCCCCCAGGGCCAACGGCTCCCACGGCGCCTCCCGGGGGGGGAGGGGCGGAAATCCAGGTGCAAGGACGGCGGCCACACTCACCTCCCTGCCCAGCCCCCGCCTCGCTGCATTCCCAGCCGCAGAGAAGACACTTCTTCCCACCCCCCACCCCCACCCCAGTCCCCTACCTCCAACCCCAACCCCCTCCCCCAACCAATGGCCCCCCCCCATGCTCCTGGGCCCCTGCTGGGCACGTCACAATGACCCCTCCCTAAGGGGGGGCGCTCACCAGTCATGGCCCCCCCCATGGGCGGGGGGGGTGTGTGTGTGTGGGGAGGGTCTCCTCGCCTTACGACCACCAGACTCCCCTCTGCAGCTACAATCCCCAACTGCCAGGCCCAAGAATGAGGCGCCTCAGGCTGAGCCTCCCTTCACTAGGCCCCGCCTCCTCGACTGTCTCCCCAGTTTAGGCTCCGCCCCCTTCTGCTCTGCCTCCCCTCCCTAGGGCCGCAGGTTTGAACTGTTCCCACCCCTCCCCCACGCCTTCCACTACCTAGGCTCCTTCCCATTGGTTCCCTCGGTTGCTAGGAGATGAATAACGGCGGCCTACATTGACTTGATTGGGCCTCCCCATTCGCTCCACCTTCTTCCCCCTCCTCTTGAAAAGTCTTATTCCCTACACTCTACACTTGGGATAGGAGCGCAGCTGCAGCTACGCACCTGTTAGATCCTGTGAATCACCCTGAGCGGGCTGTCCTGGCTCTCCCACTCCCTGCTCAACTCACACTTCAAGTCCTTGCTCAGGATGCGGATAAGAGGACATTTTTTGGCTGCGTTTTCTAAAGGGTCTAAGTGAACACGCGCCAACAACTCTAGACGAGAAGGTTTTTTCCACTTTCTGGAGCCCAACCATGAGCTTTGGCAAAAGGACACCGATAGGACAACAGTAATTGACTTCCAGAATTAGGTCAGGCTCAAGGGATGCCTGAATACAGACAACAGCCTAAAAGGAAGAAGTTGGCACGCCTAAAATAGACCAGAAAGGATAGAGAAAGAAAATAAGAGCGACTTATGCACAGAAGAAAAATTGGACAAGATGAAAGATATGCCTCTCTGAGTCGTATAAACAGAAGGGATGCCAAAATTATACCTACACAATAAAAAAAGTGTAGACCAACTAATGTTCGTGGTTTGGCGTGCCAGAAATATTAAGAGCAGAAACGATATGTACTAATCTTCTCTTCGTTTTTCTTATATGTGCCTCTGTCTCTACTCTGGAGAGTGAAGAAAGAAGAGGAAAGACTCCTGAAGGAGAGGATAGAGGAACACTGCAAACAAGTTATTGAAGTTAAAAAAAAAAACCAAGATGCCTTGTAAAATGCAAAGAATGGTGAATTTTATTGAAGCCAAGGGACTTGCAAGGAAGAGGAGGCACTAAAATGCAGGTTTAATATTTTAATATGATTCTTGGCAGTTTGCTCTAACTAAAATAACAAATCGAGATGAGAACAAAAAAGTTCGGCAGCCTTAAGAACTGTGTTGGAGTTTTTTCAAATCCAAGATTTTCCGTAAAGGCAGAATAGAGTGAGAAGAAGAAATCGGAGCTGTGAAAAGTACAAGTTCCATACCAAAAAGATCTTCCAATTTGAATATTAAGACTGTTGTGAATTGCCGATGCTAGAAGTGGGCAAAGTAGGTGTCCGAATAAGGCATCAAACCAGTCACTAAATAGAGGGCTAATGGAAGTAAGACTCTGAGATGAAAATGGAATGATCCTCTTACCTTCCAACCCATAATACAGATTTGGTGATGAAAGAATGCAGAAAGAAAGGAAAAAGAGAAGAAAAACTCTGGAGGTTTGCTCGGAAGAGTGATGCCGAAATGAGAACTGTCAAAAGAACCACCAAAATATCCATCCCAGAATCAAGATCTCGATTAGCCTTATCTACGGGTCTTCAAAAGTCACAAGTCAATAAGCACCTACTACATGCCAGGCAAGCGCTTAAGATACAAAGGCAGAACTATTACCTGTTCTCATTTTAAAATAGCCTCAAATACATTTAGTACTTTCTTTTGGCTATTTTCCTTTCTTAAATAGTGTAACACGTAACTGTACCCAAACACCTGCAAGCATAAAAAGTCCAATGCATGAATTTAGCCATAGTTTATTTACCCTTGCTAATGATGAACAATTAAAGGGAGGGCAAGGAAATCTAAAGAAGCTATGGTCGACCTATTTGGGGGATTGCCTTCAGAACTCATTGTTTTTGTAATATCTATTTGAGCTCTTTAAAGTGATTCTTGTAGGTGACATTGGACAATGAGCTAGTCTTAAAACGAAGAAGACTTAAGTTCAAGTCCTTGACCCATACTAGCCCATCCTATGTGACTCTGAGCAAGTAATTTAATCTCTCCACCCTCTAGGCAACTCTCTAAGGATATAAATTGTCAAGAATGTACCTAATAGTATTGCTAAAGGGTGCTTCCTCTTCTCTGAGCAGTTAAACCAATTTGAAGTCATAGGTCCAGGCCCTATCCCTATTGTTAAGTGATGGAGAGGCAGCCTCTACCATTGAACAAATTTGTTGGGAAGTTTTTCTTATATTGAGACACAATCTGTCTGCCTATTCCTCTGATTTGTGCCCCCTCGGGACCAAAAAAAAAAACCAAAACAATTCTAATGCATCTCGCACATAACCACCCTTCAAATCCTCAAAGACAGATTTCTTGTCCCTCCAAATTCTTCTCTTCTCCAATCTTAGTTCCTTCAACTAATCTTCTTATGGCATAGTTTCTAGTGTTCTTAGCATAATAGACAATCTCCATCAAGGAATTGTTGATGTCCCACCAGAGTTTATCGAGATATTCTGACTGATAAGAACAGAGGACATCATGATTGTTCTCCCCCATATTCTTTACACCTGCTTCTCTAAATGCTACCTAGGATTACATCATTGCCTTTTTTTTTTTTAGCATCCATGTCCTATAATTTGTTGACTCATATTGAGGTTACTGTAGACCAATAAAACTCAGATTTTTTCACTCATACAGTTGACTATTCATCCTCTGTAATAGTGATTTGAGAAATGTGACATTTCTGCAGTTTATTTTTTAAACTTGCCCAAATGTATGTATTTTTTAACTTTTTCACTTTTATCTTCCTTATTTTACTTATTCAATTTTGTCTTATTGGATCTGGCCCATCGTTCCAGCTTGTCAATATTAAAATCTTGTGGGTGTGTCACCCACCCCTCTCCAGTTTTATGCCTGCTATAAATATTTTGTGGACATGGAAAACTCTATTGGTTATTTCACCAGATATATATCATTTACATTTCTCTATCTAATCCACAAAGATATCATGATAATTTATCAAATACTTGCAAAGACTTAGGTATATCATGCCTATGGCATTTCCCTTATCCACTGAATCAATCACAAAGAGGAACTGAATTTAGGCTAGTATAAATTAATCTTGATAAACCTGTGCCTACCCTTAGGAAACATGATTTTCCTTTCTAAATGCTTATAAATCATCCTTTTATTAATACATTCTAGAATTTTCCAGAAATCAAAGTAAAGCTCACCAGCCAATCATTTGATGAATTATACTATTTCTTTTTTGGAAAACTGGGACATTGATCCATCTCCAATGCTGTAGTACCTCTCTCATTTTCTATATTTTTTTTTAAAATACTAGGGGGTGATTACATCTCAGCAACCAATGACACCTGCTAGTTCTCTGAAATGTAGTTTATCTGCACTTGGTGACTTGAACTTATTCAGGGCAAAGGGGCACTCTCTTACCATTTCTTTAATTATCTTGGGTTTCAGCTCCTTGTTAATCATTTTTCTTCTATCTTAGACACTCTCTAGTGTCAGACTGAAGATTGTTCTTCCTGGTAAAAAAAAAAATAGAAAAAATGTGTTGAGTAGTTCTGTCTTCTCTCCATTATTTATTATCTTCCCTCTATCATGAGCCATGATCCCATCCCTTCTTTGATCTTAGTCTTACTCCCGATATAGCCATAAAAAATTCTTTTTATTTTCCTTAGCATACATCGAAAGTTTTAGCTTGTCCTGAGCTTTAGTATACCTAGCACTATTCTTGTAGGACCATGCTACTGTTTTGTATTCATTCTCAGTAAACTTCCCTTGCTTTCATCTTCTTTGCATCCCTTTCTTAGAGTTCAAGTTGATCTAGAAGTTTCCTGTGCATCCACATCAGTCATTTTAAGACTTTTCACCCTTTTATTCCTCATCAGAATCACTAGTATTTGTGTCATTGGATTTTTTTTCCTTAATAGCATCCCATCACTTTTGATCCAACTTCCCCTGTAGAATTTTAAGGAATGGGATCCTACCTATCCTTTTTCTGAACTCTATGAAATCTATTCTTCCTAAGTTTAGGGTTTGCCTTGCATTCCTTCCCTTACTTATCACAAACTCTAAGATATAGTGATCACTTCTTTCAAGGTTCCTATCATTTCAGCTTTGGTAGACAACTCCTCTTTATTGAGCAGAATCAGCTTACAAATAACTGGGTGCTCAGATTTTAATGACTCATACCACCTATCTGTACAGCGAGGGCAATGCCATCAAAATACTGCCATCTTATAGAGGCTAGCCTGAGCAACTAGCCAGCTAATCTGCTCTCTCTCTCTCTCTCTCTCTCTCTCTCTCTCTCTCTCTCTCT